CCTTGGCGGCATTTTTATTTACAACCAACGATATGTAGCAATTCCAGCCTATCGCTACGAGTTGTACAAACACAACTTGTAGATGCATCGGCACAAAAGCAAAATTAATCATTTGTGCAGCAGGCCATATCGTATAATTATTTTTCATTATTTGAAAATAATCTGCTTTCACGCGACTTTTAAAGTCTTCCACGCCTGTACCATTCATTGTGCCAAGAATGCCCATTATGGCAACAGGGAAGACCGGCGCGCAGCAGCTCTGATCTATTAACATCTTTTTTAGGGCTCGTTTGGTTTGGTGTTGATTTTGTGATACCATAGAATCGACAGCTCGATACCAATATTTTAGAACTGGCCCAATAAAAAAGAAGCCAATGCTAGCAAATTTCATAGTTCTAACGACATCGACTTCCGTCAACGACTTCTTTTCAATAAATTTCTGTGCAATAACATCCCCAACACCCATCAGTACGAAACACCGAGTGCCTTCCAAGGCATATGGTTTTAATTGTGTATTTATACGATTAAATATGCTTATTGCTTTCAACATTTTTAGTACAAAATTAAAAAAAATATTCTAAAAAATTAATAAATAAAATAATTATGAGATTGACAACAATTGACATGAGCATAGCGACAACCGCGAAGAAATGCGTTCGTACGGGAAGTCAGAAAAACGTATTTGAATAACCTATACGTCATATACGTAATAATCAATCCATTTACTATATAAATCAAAACGAAATATATATATATATATATATATATATATATTATATTACATTATAATTACATCATATATAATTATAATTATATTACATATAAAAATGATTTAATTATAATTACATTTTATTACATGTAAATTTCCAGGATATAAGGTCATTAATTTCGCAGTGAATAATTAATAGTTAATTACATTTATTACATAATTTTAAAATTATAATAATTTAAGAGCTTATATTTGGTGATATAAAAATTGAAATATATAACCTTCAAACTGTTAAAGAATTCATATAAATTATATATATATAAAAACAAAGATTGATAAAATATTTTAACATATAAATTGATGAGTTGTTTTTTTAGAATTTCATTATGCAAATTAAAATCACATGATTGCAATAGCTATTTTTATTTATGATATGTTATAGACGAGAGATCAGCAAATCAGTAGTTTCTTCTATTTTTTGTTCTTCTAGCAATATTTTATTACACATTTCTGTATGCATTTTGATTAAAAAATATAAGTAATTGGTATACGTTAATAGAGATTAATGTGAAAATTAAGTTATATATAGTAAGAAATGGTGTTTAAAAATAATTCAAATTTAATATCGAATTTTCTTAATGCAACGGAATATTTCAAAATTAGAAATACACATGCCTATATCTGTAAATAGATATATATTTATAATAACTTATATTATTATAATAAGGATACTCATCTAAACTAATAAATACCTTATAACTTTTATAAACGGATTCATTTATCCACATTATAAGTTAACTGCCAAATCTTGTATTAGAACTCGTTTACACAAGCTTATTAAATTTATACGAAAACTATGCCGAAAAAATTTATCGCATAAATTTATTTGCCGTCAATACAATGTTGCATTCCAATAGAAGCAAGTTATTTACAAAAATATCTTCGCATATACTTTTTAGTTTGGACTTTTTTTAGCATTTTATTTTATTATTTATTGATAGCGACACGGTTGATGGATAAAGTTAACATAAATATTTAATATTGCAACCATATTGGCTAAAAGTTTCGGGCTGGTGAGCTTAGCATTTTATTGCTGATATAAATAGTGCTATCATACAGATGATTGATAAATTTACATAAATATTTCACTAAGTGCGTTCATATAATCGTTTACGTTAGCGCATAAAATAATACCTTTGATAAATTTGAATTTATACACTTTCAACACATGGCAACATGCCAGAATGCCAATGCGATGATTTTTTTCAGTGTACAACTGACATTTGGCGTTGTGATAATATTGACAGCTGGGCACCACTGAAGTTTGTATGAAAACGTGCGCTGCTTTATTTAAGGGAAGTCATTTTGCGCATAAATTGATACGACGCAAAATAAATTTAAAATAATGTCTAAGGAGAACAAATTGTTACAATTCCATGAGATGGAATTGGATAACAGGATACTTAAGGTAAAATACTTATAAACTAATTA